GACAAAAACCAACACAAAGAGACCTGCTCAAACACCAATTTCTCATCTTTCACTTTGACTGTGACAACAGGATATCCTTGTTGCTTAGTCCAGGAACTCATTAATTTGTTCACAGGTTCACCAGACCCCTCCTCAAGTGCAGCCCATAAGTCTTCAGTTTTTGCATTTGAGCAACTGTGCCTTTTAATGTACGAAGCAAGTGATTTCTGATCACATCAAGCAACCCACTTCAACGAATTGGATTAATAGGTACAAAATGATCCAATTTTTTAGACAAGGAATAGTAAACAACCTGAAAACACTCGGCACCGAGATAACTTTGTAACATTCGAATAACAGATGCACCTTTTCTGTAGCTAATTGCATCAAATATTTCATCAACCTCACTGGCATGATTTATCTCAACCTGAAAAAAAAGAGTGCCTCCTTAACTTGAACAAGAAACACTAGAATGACTTTCCTTGAATTAAGACAAACAGAGTACCCAACAAAGGAGATAATAGAAAGAAAAAGCTATGCCTGCCGGCTGCCAGTCACACGTGTACCTCAATAGGATGTGATTCAGCAAGACCATCCAACGTAAGACCATGATTTGATTCTTCAAGAAATTGATTCCATACTTTCCATTCTGGAAACAAGCTATCAGTAGCTAAATAACTCACCTACACAAATGAGATAAAATGAAAACCAATTATAAGCATTTCCTCCGACAATGGGTTCCAAATAAAGACAAATTAAATGAAAGTGGGATACCCATGTTGCGAATCCTTCATTCAGCCATAAATGTGTCCACCACTCCATAGTTACAAGGTTTCCAAACCATTGGTGTGCAAGTTCATGAGCCACGACGGTTGCCACCTTAACAACGAGAAAATAAAAAATTATAAAAAGTCAAGGAATTGGCAACATTCCAATTCAAATTATGAATATAATTTTGTTTTTAAGAAGGCTTGGATGTGCAGATCACCCTCTGTTTGTTGGCAGCTGCTGAGTGCTGATCATCATAAAGTAAAGCAGTCTCCCTGTAGGTAACTAAACCATAGTTTTCCATGGCCCCAGCAGCGAAGTCTGGAATTGCAATCATGTCGAGTTTTGGCAGGGAGTATGGGCAAGCAAAATATCTGCAGAAGTTGCACCACTGTTTATGAAGAAAATAAAGAAAGTTTCTAAACAGGATGAATAATACTGTATGGACCAACATACTCCTTGTATAGGTCAAGAGTCTTCACAGCGACATGTAACGCAAATTTTCCTTGATTTGCCTTTCCAACTTGACAGTATACACGAACTTTCACCCCTGTTAAGATGTCAATTCAAGCTATTATTAACAGTACCCACAGTATGCATAAGAAACTCTGATTTATGATTTTACCATCAGCTGTATGATCTTCCACATAATCAAATAAACCAACAACCATGGCCACTAAATATGTGGACATAATTGGTGATTCTTGATATGTAACCGTCTTTAGATGCCCATTCACTTTTTCTTCAATAATTGGCATGTTGGAAAGTGCTATTAGTTCAGATGGTACATCTAACGTGATTTTGAATGTAGCCTGCTTGTCAACAATGAACAGATTAAAGCAATGACTAGGTAGGAGTTCCAATTGGGTAGAAATAAGCTAAAGGTTTAAACATGATTCCAGCCTCTCAATTTTGACGTAATTTCTCTTTAAATTAAAATGTACAATTAGTTCATAAGTTTCATTAAAAGCCAAAATTAGTCTCAATAAGTTATTTCATCATTCATTTTATCAAATTAGAAGTAACATACGAACATATCTCATTTGATGGGCAAACTTTTCAACAACTTGAATATTGCAAGAAAATGCAATTAAAAATGTACTTTTATAAATGTGAAATCTACTTCCCTTGACAGCACATTTTCACATCTAACAATATAAAAAACTTCACAAAATGATTCCTCTAATTTGAATTGTCTATCCTACTCGACAGAAAAAAAAAAAAAAAAAAAACCTTCCAAAAAAAAAAGTTAACAACATAGAATAAATATCATATTTTATTAAAGATGGGGAACTATATTAGAACTGTTGAATACTTATGGACCAAAATGGAAACCAGGTCAAATTTCAAGTGACTAAAAAGTAACATAAATTAAGATAAATTTTGGCAGTGCTACTTCTGTGTCGCTTCAACATGGTGATGGGAATAATCACTTCAAGGTTTTAGTAGATGAACTAAAGGGGTTTAGATCTCCATAGAGGGAAAAAGGGAGAGAGATGGAAAGAGATATGCTAACACCTTAAAAGCAGGTTCATCCCAGCAAGGGAAGCAACGTCTAGCATCAACAGGTTCAAATTGTGTAACAGCCATATTTTTCTTCTCACCATTGTGCTCATAAGTGCTGGGCAACAATGAGAAAATTCATATCATTCAAGTTCAAAAAGAAGCGAAAGTACTAACACATAACGAATAACTTGAAGATACAAAAAAAAGAGGGAAAAAAAGAAAAAAAAAGAAGAAGAAGAAGTCCTTCCCAATCTCTTATTCTTGAAGTTCCATTGTTCCCAAATGCTGACATCTTTTTTTATTATTATTATTATTATTATTTTTATAGTACTTATTTCTAATTTTGCCATAAATTAGGAATCGTAAAACCTTCTTCATCATATGAAAACATGAATGATTACAAGAAGCATCTTCTCTTTTGCTTTCCTATAACTCAGGCTAGTTATATAATTGCTATATCAAAACTTTTGAAGACTTGGTTGCGAATGAGAAGTACAATCTTTTTTAAAATTCTTACGAACTAAAAATGATATCATTTCTTGAACCTTCAAATTCCTCAAAACTAATAATATTTCTTATGAGTTTAAGAGGCGCACAGCCAGGAGTTAAAACTTATTAAGAGAACCAGTTACACCTTTACCATTAACAAATTTCCCTGCAACATCAAGTTCTCTTTTTTCATAATCCATAAAGGCCCAACATTTTCATCCCAGCAATATGATCTTTCTCATTTCCATTCATCGAACTTAAGCTCTCACATGCCAAAAAAATTACCTTCTATAGAATCCTTTCATTTTATCATTCAAGATTCCTTCGAAATTGATAGACAATGTTCCTGACCCAGTTGGTAGCGTCTCTGCAAACTCCAAAACGAAAATTTGGTTCTCTTCACAAGCTTGAATACTTGAAGGCTGGAAAACCTGGCCCAACAATTGTTCGTCAAATAATTTCAGATAAAGTAGAAAATGCATAAATAAATTTTTAAAAGCTTTCCTATTCTCATAGGAAGCACACGATTGCTGAACACCTGTCGTGAGAAAATATATAGAATTCATGTTTCATAACATTTTGTCGACTAAACAGTTATATGGGTTCTATAATATCCTAATATTTTTATATAGCCTAGTAAGAAGCTGAGAAATCATTGCTGATTCCAAGCTTGAAATGCTCAAATGAAACAAAAAACAGCATCAGCCATCGTGAAATTTCAGAAGTATAACGAGCATAATAGGAAGTTCATACTCCAAACTCGACCATTAACTACAAAATCTAACACCGTAAAAATCCATTTCCATCTCAAGAGCTGAAAATGAATAATAAACGTACATAAACAAATCAAGAACGGAATAAAAAACATGCATAAAAAAAAAATCCACATCATTCCCCTTTATTCTTCCACTTTTTTCTTTACAATCCTCGAACGCCCCTAACGTGGAGTCTCAAGTCATAAAGAGAGAGCGATTCAATACCTTGGAGGAGCTCCGATGCTTGAAGGAAACAGAAGCATCATCGACATGAAGGTCGGCAGCATTGAGCACCAAAAATCGAGTATCGGAAAGGATATCGACATCGATTGCTACAGAACCAGAGAATTTACAGAGACAGAGGTCCGGTTTGAGGCTGATCTCGTATCGTTTTGGAACGGCAAATTTCGGTAGCCGCGGTTGATTTCTGAATTGATCCATCGGCGAATGAATCGGCAATTTCAATCTGATACTTCAAACACTCTGGAGATGAAGACTATGACTGTATTTATTTATATAATTACTTTTTTTTTCTTTTTATATATATAATAAATTACAAATTTGATTAAAAAAAATGGAGATAAACGAGTTTAGGGCTGGATTTTTGTTAAATTTTATTTATTTATTTGATAATATTTATTTAGTGATTTATTTTTTCTATTTGTCAAACTTAATTTTGTGCCCATCAGTTACAGTAAAAATTAATTACACGACAAAAATAATTATAAGATTAAGGATAAATTTAATTTTTTTACCCACGAACTTGTATAATATAAAGTATAATTGTTCTATATATTCTTTGACTTTTCAATAATTGTCCTATATATTCTTAATGATAAAGCATAGTCTATTTTAAATAATTTATAATACAGTTGCTAAATATATTCCTCATTATCTATATATTCTTTATTATAATTGTTGTATAATTCTCCATCTATTCAATTAATTATATTCTTGTTGTACTAAATATATATATATATTTATTTTATTAATCATAAAATATATCATATTTTTAAATAGTTAAGATTTATTTCACGTAACTAATTAGATAACCTTGAATGATTTTAGTAGTTTAATGAATAAAATAATCAAAATTAATTTAGAAGTATTAATACAAATTAATTAGTTATTAATAAAATAATAAATTTAATTGGTGATTAATGGTAAGTATTTAAAAAATAATAATTAACATTAACTAATATTCCTAATAAATATCCCCAATTACATTAATTTAACATATTTGTATTTATCAAAATAAATTAAATTACATTAATTGAATATGGTTGTACCATTACATTACTAACAACAATAGGTTAACTTTTAGTTTCCTATATACAAAAGTTTATTAAATCATAGGGTAACTTTTAAAATTATAAAGACAAATAAAACGTTCTCCTGTAAGTATCCTAACTGTAATTTAAATATAGTTAATTTAGATAGTGTTTAATTGATTATGGTATATACCTTCGAATCTCTTACTACCACCCGAAAATTGCATATTTAGACTACATAGACTACAGATCAACTGAAATCAAATTTAGTGCAAACAATTCATCACCGAACTACCTAGAAAGTTTTGGAAAGAAGGTCGTAGGGGCACCTCATGGTGCCAATAATCCGACCCAGATTCAGCACTAATACAAATATTGTAATCAGCTCTTGCACCGCAATGGCAAAAACTGTTATTACAAGAACCATGGATCATATGGCTTCACCAAATTCATAAAGTTCAAAGGAAGAAAATCAGTCCAAGTTCATAAAACTCGCACCTTGGTCTTATGGCCGCTTAGTTATTGAAGCTTTGCAGCTGCTTTTGCATCATTTCTTCTTGAACAGTAAATGGCAAACCATCCATTCTTCCCCATTGTTGTACCCAAATAACTCGGCTACTGCAATGAAGAATGTTCTCCAATAAACAGTCCACTTTACAGCTGAATCCTTGCCATAAGTAGTTGCCATGATTGGTTTTATTGAAGCTATGTTCTTGTCCATTCTTTTGAGCCACTCTTCACTGCAAAGGATGTGTTAAAATTGTGTTTAATTCACAATTTCAAAATATAAAGGCAAATCTGGCAAGGAGACTTCAACATTTACTTGAGAAGATATTATGTTCTCCAAATGTGTGTAAGGTGGTAGGTACCTTGTTTGAGAATAGTGCTCGCCATTCACAAGCCAATGATCGACAATCGACACGTCGTCCTGTATGGAACAAGCAAAATGTTACGACTCAACTCGAAGCTTCTTGTGGTTTTACTATAAAGTTCTCAGATTCAAACTCAAATGAAAACAAGATGGTCATAATTCTCAAGTTGAAATGTTCGGTATGCTTTGATGGAATGCAAGAAATGACAATAACTATCAATACTAATAGCAAAAATAAGTAGAAATTCTCAAACAGATGATCTATTTGTGCATCTTAGACACTCTTACATACTCTTACATGATAGGTTAGGTAGTTATTGTTAAGATCGCACACCAGCACACACTCGATCTAGATGAACACAAAAAACAAAGAACAGGAGAGAGACACATTTTCTAAGTACCCCATTTTGTTTTCGTTTTATAAAGTTTCAACAACTAGCCTTCTCAAACAATCTAAACGAATATGAGATGATACTTCTAGGGAAAGGTGAGGTTTGACAGGGGCAGGGCGGCGTATCACCTGAAAATAGAGGAGTAGATTTGCAGAAGGCATCGTGCCACCTTCGAAGAAGTATCTCGTAATCCAATCATCTTCATTTTTATCCTAAACGATGAGGCCATAAAATGGTTAGCAAAGCATAATATTTCCTGTTTATCAAGATGTCTACTACAAACAGCGTGAGAGGCACAGAATCAAACCAATAATAAGGGTTCTAGCTATGAAGAAACCTCAATGTATATAAAAATGTGAATCAACCGTACCTCAAAGTGATAGGCAAAGACTTTATGGCAAAAATGATGAACAAAGAGGAGACTATCCTGTTTCATCCAGCCTGATATTTTCTTGAGAAGATCCTTGTAGTTCTTCATATGCTGCTCTCGGGTAAAAACAAATAAAGTTTCAAACCATTTCAGGATGTGGGTATCAAAATGGAACTACATCAGGAATTTAGTTACCTCAAACATTTCAATGGAAATTATTCTGTCATATTCAGCTTCCATTTCAAAAGTGCTGATGTCTGCAACAATAATGTTGACATTATTCAGCTGGAGATCCCTGAAACCACATATCAAATTTTAACGGTTGAATTCTGCCAAGAATTTAAGAGATGCCAACCCAACTTTATGTATTGAAATTAAGAAACCTGAAAGAAAGTTCGAGGTATGCAAAACAAAGCTAATTACCGGCACTGCTCCTCAATGTAATCTTTCTGTGTGGTTGAATTGCAAATTCCAGTCACCTGACAATTCTTGTAATTTTGGGCAATATACAACGAAAGTGACCCCCAGCCACATCCAACATCAAGAACAGAGTGGCCATCCTTCAGTTGTGATCTTTCACAATACATTTGTAGCATGGCCTCCTCTGCGTCCTCCAAGGTACTTGACTTGTCCTTGAAATAGCATGAACTGCAACAACAGATCATGTCAGGGCTAGTGAATTGATCAGATTAAGAGAACTTGAAGCTATTTGAAGCTCTTTTTGTTGTTTGTTTGTGCTTCTTACTCAAAATGACCTGCAAATCTCTGTTTTAATACACACTAGGTTTTTTTCAATCGAAAAACTAAGCGTTCCATTATGCATCACACAACATTTTCAAGTCCTAATTTCGAATCTGCGTATTCATGTCATCTTAACGCAAATGAAATGAATAGAAATCAGACTCTTCCAATCGCTCTGTAAGACCTTCGTAAGTATTTCACTACCTGTACTTGAGATTCTTCCCCAAAACTAACTTGAAGAACGAGGTAGGAAGCTCGTAATGTTGAGCTTTTGGCTTATCAGTCTTAATAGCAATTGGCATTTCCCTTAAAGCTGCAGAAACAGGCACAATCAACTAGTTCAATCTCCTTGAAATTTGACAATCCGCCAAATTCAAAGCAGACATGCTCCTCCGTCAATAAATCCAGTTACCTAGTTCAATCTCCTTGAAACGTAATAGCTATGGAAGTCGCAACTTACCGTGCACAAAGTGGAGAAAATCAGAGAGTTGGAGTTGAGAGGAAGGCTTAAACTGGGAGCGAATGCGAGAGGCGAGTAGCAAGCGGGTGAACCTTCTTACGACGGCGTCCGGCAAGAAATTCCGTTCGAGTGAAGCCATTAGAAGGCGGACAGTGACGTCGTAAGGCACCTGAATAAGCTCCGCCATTTCTGTGTGGCTGAAGCTCTGATTCGCAAAATTATTGGGCTTCTAGCCTTAGCTCTTCCTCCACTGTTCTAACTACCACTCAAAGTCTCGATCTGTCTCACACTTTCCAACTAAAAATAAAATAAAATATTAAAAAATTAAAATTTTGTTTTATATATTTGTACGAATTTCGTTATAAGTTAGTTTTAGAAACATTAAACATTAAACATTAAATACACTATAAGTTAGTTTTAGGAACATTAAATATAACATACATTATTTAAAAATTTAAATTTGTTTTATATATTTGTACGAATTTGAATATAAGTTAATTTTAGAAACCCTAAACATTAAATATAAGAGGTATGAGCTGGAATTTAATAGATTGGGCTTAGGCCCAGGATTTTGTCATGTAATACGACGTCATTTCATTGGTTCTGTGCCTTCACAAGGTCTCGCTGGAGTTGGGAGTGTGCGTGTGCCTTCTGCGGAGCCATTGAGGTGCGGCATCAACAGAACCGAAGGATCGGCCGCCGGAAAAGAAGATAACAGGCGGATGAGCAACGCGGAGCGTTCGGCATATTTCGCGAGGAGAGAGGCGGCGAAGATATTGCGGCGAGTTCTTGAAGGATCAACGTCGAGCTGTCGCTTCAATCAAGTCGCTCGTTTATGCTCCATCTGTTGGGAATAAGAAGGGTACCTTGTTAAATGCTGAAGATGATTTTCAAATTGATTCTCATATACTTGTCGATAGAACTATTGGTTTTAGTTGCACATTGTTGAGGATTGTTGAGAGATAAGCCCCGCATCGGCTAATTAAGGAGTTTGATCATGGATTTATAAGTAAGGAATACATCTTCTCCTCTCGTATTAGACTTTTTGGAAAAACCAAAAGGAAGACCACGAGAGTTTATGTTCAAAGTGGACAATATCATACCATTGTGGAGAGTTATCATTCCTAACATGGTATAAGAGTTGTACCCTTAACTTAGTCATGTCAACAGAATCCTTAAATGTTAACAAAGAAGTTGTGAGCCTCGAAGGTGTAATCAAAAGTGACTGAAGTGTCGAGCCTCGATTAAGGGGAGGTTGTTTGAGGGCTCCATAGGCCTTAGGGAGGCTCTATAGTGTGCTTTGTTCGAGGGGAGGATTATTGAAGATGGTTAGGAGAGGAGTCTCACATCGGCTAATTAAGGAGTTGATCATGGGTTTATAAGTGAGGAACACATCTCCATTGCTACGAGACCTTTTGGAGAAATCAAAAGCCAAGGTATAAGAGTTTATACTCAAAATGGACAACATCATACCATTTTGGAGAGGCGTAATTCCTAACACACATTTTCCTTTGTATTTGGATATGACCTCATTAACATAATTATGCTGACTGTTTTAGCTTTGCAGTTTCCAACTGGATGATAGCATATAGCAATTAATTGGATGAAAAATTGAAAATCCTACATATTTGATATGAATGATTTTGTGATCATCTTGGTTGATCAGATTTTGTCTCGCTCCCCTGAAATCTGGTGATATTGCGTAAGTTAAAGTTTATTTTGTAGCTTTCTCGTTAAACTGAAAAACTTCAGTTGCTTTGGCTGTTTTACTAGACCTCCCTGTAATCAAGGATGTACTGGAGGCTGCTGATTTATTGAGCAATAAATGGAAGGTACTCGCTCATCTTCTTTGTAGCTGCTCATCTTCTTTGTAGCTGCTCATCTTCTTTGTAGCTGCTCTTTTACTATGATTGTTTCTAGTTCATTTGCTTCATACAACTTTATCAAGTTCTAGCTAATTCTGTTTGAATAGATTTCTTGCTCACTTCAAATATACACTAGCATTAGTCTAATATTATTGTAGAGGCGGAAGGAATTAATTTATATCATCACGTATGATATCCTCCTTGTTCAGGTATTTTATTCACATGTTTCTCTTATCTTAACATAAAAGCATTCTCATTAAAGGGTCGACTCTGAAAACGTTTTATGAGAGATGGACAAATTGGGGGAGGATTTGTTGTTGTTCAAATTCTGTGTTGACCATCAGGACCTTTTAAATTCCTTTACTCGAAGTGAGTTTGTCTATGTCCAATAATGATTCTATTGGCATGGCTTTTGAACCATAACAAAAACCTTTTGTTGTAAGTTGTCATGGAGATGTATTGTCATAATTCTTTAACTCTTATATCACGAAGAATTACTGGGTCTGCTAATAAGAAGAATTACTGGGTCTGCTAGGAGTTTGGAGGCCATTTCATGCAGTTCAATACACGTGATATATATATATATATCTGCTGCAGCTGGCCTAGTTTACATTTGATGCTGATTGGATATATTTTATGGGAATTGTGTGTAGAAAATTCCTTCATTTGGCGAGGCAGAGGTGTTTCTCTTGCAGCGAGATAAAGTCTGTCTTGACTTTTGTTCTTGGTAAGGTCTGTATTTCATCACGATGCCTTAAAAAAATTCCTTAATGGTGCTGGTTTTTATGTCAAATAGGTACAGAAGGATGACATGGTTCCTAACCTCTTGGTACTCCCTCCAGGCAGTGATTTACATGATCATCCTCTGGTTGCGAAAATGGGAGCATCTTCATGCAAGTAAGTCTCTAGTTTTATCCAGTCCATTGATTAGAAAGCATGCATTGGAGGTCAAGGGTTGTTGTTCTTTCTTCTTATTGTATAACAAGAGGGAGTTGATGTTTGTTGGGGAAGGCTAGTTCTATGGTTGCTGTAGCTCTTGATCCCAAGCCAGGATGGGAAGTAAGATCATCTCATCTGTATTTACCATCCAAGTTCATCTTTCGTTCTTTGATCGTTTTCTCAATGCTTCCCTTCCATTCACTTCTAGTATCCTCCCTTCCTTTCGTTATTAGATTATTTCTCTATTTGGCTTTGCATGTGAGCCTGTCATTTTAATGGGTTGAAGACCGAAGCATTACCAGCAGTTTTCTTGAAAAAATTTTAATTTGTGAAATCCAATATTTTCGAAAGGCTCAAACTGAGCTACTTCCCCTCTTCCCCTCAAAATTTTTAAAACGCATATTCTAGAGAGAAGTTTCTACACTTTTATAAACAATGTTTTGTTCTCCTCCCCAACCAATGTGGGATCTCAAAATCCACCCCTTTTAGGGCCTAGCGTCCTTGCTGGCACTCATTCCCTTCTTCAATTGATGTGAGACCCCCCAATTCAACCCCCTTTGGGGCTAAGCCTCCTCGATAATACTCGTTCCCTTCTCTAATCGGTTTGGGACCTCCCAATCCAAATCCCTTGAGGCTCAACTTCCTTGCTGGCACATCACGGTATTTGGCTTTGACACTATTTGTAACGGCCCAAATTCACTGCTAGCAGATATTGTCTTCTTTAAATTTTTCCTTTCGGGCTTCCCCTTTAAAGTTTCACTCTTATAAAAAATGTTACATTCTCCTTCCTAACCAATGTGGGATCTCACATATAACATACGTTCATTGTCCTAACATATTATATGTTCATTGTCCTCAACCTTGGTGCAAGATATAGAAGTTTTGCATGGGGATTTCCTTGATCTCAATCCAGAAGATCCTTCATTATCCAAAGTAAGTTCTGCTCAACTCCAAAGTGATTATATTTTCTTCAAGTCCTATGGCGAATAACTAATACTTCTACTGTCATTGTATTATTTTTTTTTCTTTTTTCATTTAAAAAATGATGACCGATTAGATGCTAGATTAGCCGAGCATTATAGCTTTAAGCCTTTACAAGACACAATCCAATTGCTCCCTAGGTTTTGACAAAACGATGGTAGTAAATAATGGCGCAGCCATCATTGCTTAGAGATCGGAATACTTCGCAATTTCTAATCAATGATGGCTGCGCGCATGGTCTCCCAATAACAATAAGGATTGGATTTGACAATACCATGGCGTACTGATAATCAGCTGGTAAATGTTCCCACTGTGGCAGCGGCGTGGTCTCCCAATTTTTGCAGGCGGTAAGTATCAACACATTGGTTCGGTTTATCTGTAGGAACCAGTGGGATTCTTCAGCATCTCCGCCCAGGTTAGTCGAAATTACAATTCTTGCCTAGGTTTTTATTGTTATTTTCAAGTCTAGAATTCTGCTTAGCTTTGGAGAAACTAATCACCCAGCACAGTAGTAAAAGATTAACATTTCTGATGAAACCTGTAAATATTCATTGACATAAACCATCAAGCACACACTACAGAGGCAACCCACATTACAGACATTACCACACAAAACACCACCAAAAAGGAAGAAAATTAAAAGATAAAAGAGAACCAGCAGGGCGCCATATTCTGAAAACTCATGAACCAAACCCATCAATTGACCTTGACCTCAACCACCTTGGGCTTCTTGGGCTCAGGTGGTGGCAACTTTTGCACGGTCACCGTGAGCACACCATCCTGACAAACCGCCGAGATGGCATCAACGTTGGCATTTTCCGGCAACACAAATTTCCTCATTAACTTCCCAACTCTCCTCTCCATCCTCACATACTTCGCCCCTTCTTTCTCCTCCTCCCTCTTCCTCTCGCCACTTATCAGTAGCACATTGTCGTCCTCAACCTGAACCTTGATGTCTCCGACCTTCAGCCCTGGCATGTCGACGACGAAAACGTAGGAATTTGGATACTCCTTGATGTCGGCCGGAGTGGCTGCCATGGCCTTGGCATCCCGGACGTAGGTTCGTGTTGGGGCGTTGAACGACTTGTCAGCCTCGTCGACGAGATCCATAACGTGGTGGAGGGTGGAGAAGATTGGGGAGTCTAAGCCCATGATTCTTAGATCCATCTTTCGCTTGTTAACTGGAGAAATGTTTGATGCTCAAGGAAATGTTGGTGCGAAGGAGATTTTGTTTGTAAGAGATGATCTGGTAGAGCTGTTTTGGAGTGGGTGAGGGAGAGCGGTTGGATTGGTTATTTATAGGTGTGTTGTGTGTGAAAAGAGATGAATTTTCTGGAAGGATAGAGAAGAGTTGGAAGGAGGTTCCAGGAGCTTCGGTTGCATTCTCGTCTGAGTTCTGGAATGTGACAGAATATTCCATAAGAAACATTTTATTTGGTTTTCCTAATTAGTAATTTGTTCCATCCTTATCCCATCCCGGCCAGCATCCTCACTGGCACTCGTTCCTTTCTCCCATTCCATCGATGTGGGTCTCCACTAAATCCACACGAGGGGCCCAATGCATGTCCCTCGTGTCTATCCTTCGAAAACAGCTTTCTCGTTGGTACATCGTCTGATGTTTGGCTTTGATACCATTTATAATGGTTCAAAGTCCACCTAGTAGATATTGTTCTCTTTGTTCTTTCCCTTCTCCTAAAGTGAAGGCGCTAGATTTTCACCTTAGGGTATAAATGGTTCAAAGTCCACCTAGTAGATATTGTTCTCTTTGTTCTTTCCCTTCTCCTAAAGTGAAGGCGCTAGATTTTCACCTTAGGGTGTTTCGTTCTCCTCCCTGGTAGAATTGACGAGGCCCGATGGTATAAATTTTGGCCCTATAAATATTTATGAGGGTTCGTAGTCTAAATTTATTGTAAACATTATTACATTATGAACAATCGGCAAAAACAAACCAAACAGAACACCATACAAAAGTCGCATTATATTACAAACCAAAACAAAACAAGGCTCATTCATACGATCAATCTTGTCCCACACGAACCTCAATAGTCTTGGCCTTTTTGGGCTCTGGCGGCGGCTTCTTCTCCACCGTGACCGACAGCACTCCGTCCTGGTACGCCGCTGATACTTTGTCGACATCGGCGGCCTCCGGCAGCACAAATTTCTTCAAGTATTTGCCCAGCCTCCTCTCCATTGTCACATATTTCCCTTCCTTAACCTTCTCACTCTCTCTCTTCCTCTCGCCGGTCACAACCAACTGGTTGTCCTCGATTTGGACCTTGATTTGGTCCATTTTGAGGCCAGGCATGTCGATGGAGAATTGGTAGGCGTTTGGATATTCTACCACATCCGCTGGAGTCGCCGCCATCGCCTTTGCGTCCCTCACGAAGGCGCGTGACGGCCCGTGGTGGGTGCTCTGCCCTGCCTCATCGGTGAAGTCCAGAAGGTCATGGAGGGCATTCAGGAATATTGGGTCCAACCCCATTCTGGCCAACTCCATTTCTCTTTTTTAGTGATGGTGGTGTGACCGTCTGGGATCAAATGGATCCGTCTTGGGTTTATATAATGGTTGGGATCTGCATTTAGTGAAACAAATGTCTAATTATGTCTATATTTTAATATATACATATAATTTCTTTAAAGTAAAGTAATTAAAATAAATAAAAATAAGAAATACCCACCGGTAGATATTGTCTTAGATTTTCACTCAAGGTTTTTGAAACACTCAGTGAAGAGGTTTCCACTCTGTGTAAAGAATGTTTCCTAGATTTGTCTGCTAGGAAGAGATTCCTACGCTTTTATAAAGAATGTTTCGTAAGCTTCTTAGGTTTTTAGTTTTTAAAACGCATCTTGCTAGGGAGAGGTTTCACACCGAATGTTCTTTCCTTGTCGATATATGTTTTGTTCTTTCCTCGTCAATATGAGATCTCACCTCTACCAAAAAAAAAAAAATTAAATAATAATAATAATAATAATGAAAGTTAATTTAAATATAATATTCTTAAGGGTAGAGTTTGAGAGAAGGAGCCAGGGGCGATGGTTTTAATGTGCCACAGCGGAAGTATTCGGTGGCAAAATATTCGGTGGATTTATCTTTACACGAGCTACACACGTGGATAGTTCATCTATGAAATTATCTCCACGTGGCATTTTGGCCTGGTATGACGTGGAGTAACCGGCCGAAAACATTTTGACACGTAAGAACCAACCAACGAAGCCCAACCCCAATACCCGGCCCCATAGATCTCACGTGCGTAATGGGCTTCCGGAACGGATCAGTTAAAATGGGCCTGAGGCAACACCGGCCCAATTTCAATAAAACGCGTCACATTCTTTCCTCGCCGTAATGTATTTAGTGAACCAAGTGGCAAGAGCCAATGGTTTCCTTAAATCGTCCAAAAACCGACCATGGATTTGCAAATAGATTGAGCAACAAAAACGAAGCCGTCAACTGGAGTGACGAAAATTAAGACTTATGATCGTGTCAGAGGAAAAACTATGGGCTCATCTGGGTCTGTTGCCTGAACTCTGCTTCTTCACCAACCAAAAATGGGGATTTCAATAATATTTGCAGAAAACAATAAAGAAGACGAAAAAAATAAGAACACTAATGATCTGACTTCTGCATTTTGATGGGTCTATTGTAAAGATTTGGGTGATTTTTGTTGATGGAAGCGTCAACTTGGAAGAGACAATGGAAGCAGCGGAAGACACCAAAACCCAAATGGATAACCCACAGAATCATGGAGGGTACAAAAACCCTTTTGGGTTTGTTATTAAAAGAGCCTCATATCTAAAAGTGACCTCGACATGGTGATGGACACGTGTCCTCCCTCCTCGATCTTCAAAACCCTCGCGAAACTCCATGAATCTTGTTTTTTCTTCCTCCCTTCAGCTCTCGCCTCCATTTTCGCTTTGAATTTTCCACTCTGAGTTCTGGGTTTTTCTCCTTTTTGATTTTAGTGGTTTTTTCTATCTGGGTTTGTGTTTTCTTGGGCTTTACTGCCATGATCGTATTGGAATCCATGGTGAGATGAGTCGTATCTTTCAATTTATTGCCTGAAAAAACATATTTGTTCCAATTACTACTGTTATAATCTCTTGTAGGTCAGCTTCTGATCTCCCTTTTGATTCTGACGATCCCTTTCATTTGGGTGTTTTCTGTATTTCATTGTTGTTACATAGTTAGGAGAAGGAAAAGGGTTTATCTGGTTTCTGGTTTCTGGGGTAGTTTTGTATTAGCTTTAGAACTGGCTAAGATGAGCCTGAATGCAGCGGAGGATGAATCGACTTCAGAAATTCATATTCCAGCAGAGATTGATTGGGATATGTTAGACAAATCCAAATTCTTTTTTCTGGGTGCTGCTTTATTTTCAGGTGTATCAACTGCTCTTTACCCTATTGTTGTTTTGAAAACTCGGCTTCAGGTTTCTGCTACTAAGCTATCAAGCTTTAACATGTCGTATTCTATCATGCGCCATGAAGGTTTAAGAGGGTTTTACAGAGGGTTTGGAACCTCTTTAATGGGAACTATCCCAGCTCGAGCCTTTTACATGACAGCTCTTGAAGTTACCAAGAGTGGCGTTGGTAGTGCAACGGTTAGATTAGGCTTTTCAGACACCACAGCCATGGCTATAGCTAATGGAGCTGCTGGGTTGAGCTCGGCTATGGCTGCTCAATTGGTCTGGACTCCTATAGATGTTGTGAGCCAAAGACTAATGGTTCAGGGCTGCAATAACAGTGCTAAAAACCTTAATTCTTGCGTCTATAAGAATGGTATTGACGCTTTTCGAAAGATCGTTTATGCGGATGGTTTTCGAGGATTATATAGAGGATTTGGGATATCAATCTTGACATATGCTCCATCAAATGCTGTTTGGTGGGCTTCTTACTCTGTCGCTCACAGGCTTATTTGGAGTGGTTTAGGCTACTACAATAGTAACAAGGATGAGAGTTTTAATACTGCTGGGTATGCCTTTAAACCAGATTCTAAGGCAACAGTGGCTATTCAGGGCTTGAGTGCAGCCTTGGCCAGTGGGGTTTCTGCTATCATAACAATGCCTCTAGATACCATCAAGACTAGATTGCAAGTTTTGGATGGAGAAGAAAATGGTCAAAGACGACCCTTAACGGCATTGCAGACTGTAAGAAACTTGATGAAGGAAGGTGGGTTGAATGCCTGTTACAGAGGGCTCGGGCCGAGGTGGGCGTCGATGGCTATGTCGGCCACCACCATGATCACGACCTATGAGTTTCTCAAACGGCTATCTGCTAAGAACCAAGATCGCTTGAGCTGATCGCCTTAGCTGGATTACAATGGCTTGGATATATTCCTAGAGGCAGATAATGTAATGCCCTTTTCTTTATCTTTTTTCTGGTGAACTTTATTCAAGATCATATTGAATATGGCATGGAAACATGTAGTGTTCATGCTTCAACAATAAGGAAATTCATTTTTTTCCCTTTCATTTCTCTTGTACAAATGTTCGTGCTAATAAGAAATATAATCGACTGTCAACATTCGATTTCTTTAATCGTTCTTTTAGTAGTTGGGAATGTTTAGAGTTTGATTCTGGGAAGATGATGGGCGAGGAATTCTACTATTGAAAATCGTTACCTCGTGCTCATGGCCTACCCGACTAATCCATTGGTAGGCGTCGTTCACTATCGGTCCAGTTCCAAGAACAATGCTTATAGTATTAAGTTTTATCTTGGGAGATCTAACAGGAACTGGAGAGATTTTCGAATGTTCATAAACTCGCACTGCTAACTTTTAACTACTCGTGTTTGATGTTCTGTAATTATATTTGTCGCTGTTTGTTCGAATTGATACTTATTATTTCTTTTCTTTCTTCTCCTTTCATATGCAGAGTGGAACAAAACAAACAAACACGGGCTATGGTTTGATGATTCGGTCTGCACGGTGAGAGATGTGGATTCAGTGTTCGATTCGCATTCTATTTGCTTTCCTTCTATAATAGCAACAGTGGGTCATCCTTGTAAGGTTCTTAGGAAGTGTTGCAGACCTACCTAACTCTCAACAGGTGAACTCTCATCTTTCTGTCTTTTATTTCGACTTTTTACGTGAAAATAAAAATGTCTCGAACCACTTAGATTCCGAGGGTAGTCTTACTTTCATTAATGTTGCATCTGTCGAGCCAAAACAAAACGTTGTGGAGAGGATGTTTGCATGAGAATCGACGGCCTGCTTAATATCGTCAAATATATCATGTTTCTTGTTTTGTGTTAGTGATTCGAGTTTTTTCTAAAAGATAAATAAAAAACAGAAAAACGAAAACGTTATGGCTTGTCTGTTCTGTATGGCTACAAGCTGGTAAGTTTACAAGACATGAAAGTCCTTCCTAGTTTTTGTTCAAGAAATCCAATAATGTCTTGTTTGTTTCAGCTGACTTTGTCGAAATCTGTTTGATGTCTGTCCAATGACTTATATGAACACAAAATTAACACCATTTTCAAGTACCATCTATTTTAGAAACATTTTCATACAACAGGAATTACATTATATTGAATGTGAGGATTCGAGTGATGTTCGTTTAAGGGAAAAGTTTTCGGGTTGTTCGAAGCTTATTAGACGTTTCATTTGCCTGAGCATCGGACCCATCAGGTAAAGCCATGATATGGAGTCTCACACTGTCCATTCTATCCATTGCAGATACAAGAGTGCTTCTTATCTCGGCTTGGTCGCAGCAGTGAATTAGTCCGGTAGAGCTTACGTTCGATGGGATTACGCTCTTTCCTTCCAATCGAGCTATCAACAAGAGATGGTTGGTTGTCTTTGCTTCTTCCAAGAGGCTTCCAAGCCCACAACGGTCCGCTGCGGAGCCTTTTGTCACCGCGCTGACACTGATGAACCCCTGTTGCATCAAAATGGCATCAGTTCTCCAAGTTTTTGAACTCGATACGTATATGGCGTGTAAAATGGATCTTTAAATACCTCGTCGGTTCGTTGGATATCCATTCCGAAACGAACTTCTCCTGATGCAGGAACCATTTCAAGTGGAACTTCTGAGACTCCAGGAAGAAACCATAGCCTTATCCCATGCACAACCTTCAGGTTTGGAGTGTTGTTTTGTTGCTTGCTCCACCATGATTCTTTTCCTGTTTTTCGAGTTTTGTCCTTCATAAGAACAAAAATTTAAACCGAACTAATGAGCTTCGACATCCGATTTGCAGATGGGATTGTCAACGATCATGCGAACGGGTATTACCTGAGCTACATTAACTATCTGTTCTGATTGAATATTGACAAAGACAAGAGGTGCTCCTGAAGAAACTGCAGCACAAAACCAGGCCATACACCGGCTAGTCGTGGCCTCCATGGAGTGCTCTCCCTGCAGTGGCACGAACAGGATGGAGCTTATGACCGAAGAACGATGGTCGGGTAGATGCAGGTCGAGTTTTTTGCTCCATTCATACTTCACACCTCTTCTGTTGAATTCTGCACCATCCGGGTTTGATATTCTTCTACTCATTTCTGCAACATCAAACTCTGTTACATTTCAAGCTGCCACTTACAGAACAACAATGGAGTACTAACCCACCCTGCAGTTCATTGCACTGGTCAAAGGTGAGATCACCGAGTACCACAACATGTCGATCGTCGGTTGCAGCTCCAACAGTGAACTTCCTATGCAAAATCGACGCCTTCTCTTGTATGATACGTGCTCGAAGCTTAAGCGTGGCATCTCCACGCTTAACCTTCAGCCACACAACCTCAAACTGCTGGCTGATCTTAGCAAGATGCGAACTGAGGTCAGCCTTGATCTTCGTCGAAACGAACAGCTCCTCGTCATTGTCTTCAGCAACACCTTCAATTACATCGCCCGGTAATGGCATCGTCTCGTCCCAATCCTCCATAGCTTCTTGCTTCACTCTTTTCACACAAACGACCGTTGGAAGACTACTCATTTTCGAGATCTCGAAAGATCAGTTGTGAGATATATTGGGTTCGAGTTTTTGAGCTTAAATTCAAGAAAGTTGTGACATTGGATCTGATTATTTCTTGAATATGTTTCGAACATCTCAAGAGTGTGGGATTTTAGGACTTTACGTCTGGGAGTTTGGTGGTTTCAATTTCTTTATTACTACTTGGGATCTGTCAATGCTTAGCTAATATCATTATTTTATTAAATTACAAAAAACTCACAAATAAATAAATAAATGAAAATGGGAAAAATAACAAAAACGACGACGTTTTAAGCGGGTACAATTCCAGCACAAAACTGAGCGAGTTCTTGGCGCAGCCTGTCCATTTCAGCCTCGGCTCTGGCCCTGGTTTCAGCATCTCTAGATCTCAATCTGATCCCCAAAGCTCCCATCTTCCTCTGATAACTCTTCACCTATAAGACCCAGTTTTGTTTCCATGAAAACAACCGTAAAAATGGAAACTTCTGGGGAGGGAAATGGAAGAACAAGGAAAAAAAGGGACCTTTCTGTAAGGCCAGCGGCGGAGCCCACTCCGGCGGCAGATTTTCTTAACGACGGTGAGACAGAGGTTCATCTTCTTGGCTGCTTCACTGATCGGAAGGTGAAGATATTCTTTCAAATCGTTCACCGTCATTCTTCCTGCTCTCTGCCTCTGTTACGATTCAAAAAAACAGAGCCCTCTGTTTACTCTGTTTTACTCTGTTTTGCTCTGTTTTTACGAATTGCTTGCTTTATATGAGGATTTTTACTGACCTGTCTTGCAAGTGGTGTTTGGGGAACTCGCCGGCGACCCAATTCCGGCGACTGATCAGGCTGTTGATCCATTTCCATTTGATCTTCTCTCTCTTCTTCATCGTCTTCTCTCTCTGCAACTGCCGCCATGAACCAGTAACCAAAAGTCCAGTCGAAAAAATTCATAAGAAGGGAAACAAGAACCTGGGTCGAGCGGGAGTGGTTGAGAGTAATTATGCGGCGATAACAGAGGGCTTTCATCATTCCAATCCAATCCAATGCACAAAACATCATAAAAATCCGACAATGGCTCAGGTATAGCTGTGTACTCATCAAACATTTGATTCAAATAATGTTGCATTATGAACTGCTTCACTTCGTCCGTCCCCTTCTTCGAGAAACTGATACACATCCATTGTTCATTATATGAAAGCTTTTTAAATAAACAACCATTGTTCATTATATTAAAGCTTTTTAAATAAACAAACAGAGTATTCGATCGAGCTTACTCAAACATTTTGTACTGGTTGATGTTTGAAGGATTTGTCGGAAAAGTTTCTTGCAGAATTGCATGCCACAATATTCCGAATCTTCCATGGATCTCGAGCTTTCTCGTATTAATACCTTCAATGGAGAAATTTCACTAAGAAACAGAGCATGGAATTGTCCTGTCGGAAAAGGGGAAAAAACAAGACATAATAATTGAAGAACTAACCATTTGTATGAACGATTTCTCTGAGAATTAAGCAACAACTACAAGTGATGGGTTGAAAGGTATGAATTTCAGGGGTGATCGAAAATTGGGTACTACTGTAACCACCGCCGTCGCCGCCATAACCGGGATTTGGAAAATGGGTTTCGCCGGGGAAGCAGTGATAACTGGAGGGGTCGAGTACAGTAGAACTCCAGTACTCTATCTCAGCTTCGCCGGAAGTGGAAGAGGGCGGTGGGAATTTTTGGTCATTGGCGGCGGAGTTGGCGATTAGTTCAGCGGCGGTGGGTTTGATATTGGCCATGAAACTGAGAATATTGTCGTCGGTGAAAAGCGGGGAGTTTTGATGGAAATTCCATAGCGGGAACTCGCTGTCCCCTGAATCCGCCATTGGAGGAGGATGATTGTGAGTGAAGGGGTGTAATCGTTAAAGCGCGGGAAGGTAGTTTATTACCGTTGGTCGCCGGCGGTCGGTTGGGTTTTGAAAGGCTGCGAGGTGGTGATTTGGTCAGGTCGGTTTCAGAATAAGTCTGTGCTCCCACCAAGAAATAGCCACGGTCCTTCAGTAAATTACAGATATACCCTTTAGACTTATGTAAATCTATAACTAATACGTTAATCTCTCAAAACACTATAAAATCATGTCATCATAATAACATAAAATTCATAAAATTAATTAATTAATAAATTTTAAAATAATATTATTTAAATTGATAAAATTTTCTTTATTATTAATTTTAGCTTGGATATATTTGTATAAAAAAAATATCTATTTGTTATTAGAAAATTAAAAATGTATTTATTCTATAAAACCTTATTGTTAAAATAGTACTCACTTTCAGAATAAAAATGGCATTTTAAATATAATTTAATATTTTTTTTAATTACTTTAATTTAAAAGTTAATATATAAACATTAATGTATTCAATGTGGCAACTATGTAATTAAAATTATTCTGTAATCGTACCTTTTTTTTTCTTTTTTGACATGATGTCAAATTCGTAATTTACGCTTTTTAACTTTAATAAAATAATAAAATAAAACAATTAATGAAATTAAAAGGGGGGAAAATGTAAACGACGTCGTTGGCAACGAACTTTGAACGACGTCGTTAGTACAATTACGATTTACAAATTACAGTCCACTCCGATTGAAAGAAACTGCTAATATAGATAGCTGGAAAACATTCTCAAGAGACTGAAATGAAATCTGCCATTTCTTCGTTGATTAGCTCCAGAAATTTCAATCTTCACCGATCTTCCCTCTCCTTCTCCATCTTCCGGCGGCCATCTCTGCTTCTACCATCTCAATTTCCGGTCATATCTACTGACGATAAGGCCACCGGCGCCAATTTTACCAGTCTGCGCCGTAAGTGTCGTTTCCATTCCACCAAGTCCTCGCCGATTATGGCCTCATCCTTCAATCCCGAACAAGCTAGGTCTCCACCTGCAGTTCCGTTGCCGATCCCTCCGGTCACCAAGGTTAGTTGTTGGACCTTACTTATCTCAGCATGTTTTTGTTTCGTTGATTAATGTGAGCGTCGGTATTTCTGACCTGTTTCGATGTAGTTTAAAATCGGCCTATGTCAATTGACGGTGACGCCTGATAAGCAAAGGAATATTGAACATGCTCGTAAGGCCATTGAGGAGGCTGTGGAAAAAGGCGCCCAGCTTGTTGTCTTGCCGGTGAGCTTGTAGATTTTGAAATTGTTGTTTGTTTGGTGTATTTTAAGTTTTCCCGGTGGTATTTCGCGGTTTTAGGGCTTTTGTTCTGCTTGTGACAGGAAATTTGGAATGGTCCTTATTCAAATGATAGCTTCCCAGTTTATGCGGAGGATATTGAAGCCGGTGGTGATGCCTCTCCTTCAACAGCCATGTTATCTGAAGTTTCTCGTCGTCTAAAGGTCACTATAGTTGGTGGCTCAATTGCAGAGCGCTCAGGGGATAAATTGTATAATGCTTGTTGTATTTTTGGTACTGATGGAAAGCTGAAAGCCAAACACAGGAAGGTATATAATCATATTAATATATGGTTTATTAATCTTGTGACGGAACATTAGCATCCAAGAGGCATTAAAAATATTTCCTAATTTTCTTATGGGGATGATGAAGCGGAGCCTTGATGGATGTCTTAGGTTATTTAGTGTAAAATTCCAATATATTTCCTCGTAGTTTCACTTATTTGATGTTCACATGCCCCTCAGTTTGATATCTTGTTACCCTTAACACTGATTCATCTTTTCCTTTTTCTAACTAGATAATTCTGAAAGGATTAAAGAATTGAATTATTGTAGTTGGCTTTCCAGTGGCAAATTTATGAACCGTGCCAATGCACGTAGAATCTCCATTTTTAGCGTGTTCCTCAGTTTGTCTTCTGAAACATTTTTCTGTTCGTGTTTTTATTTCATTGTTAGGAGACGGACTTAAATTGGCAATGACATCTTAGTGTAGTTTAGGTTTATCTAATTAGTTTAGGGGATAGTTTATTTTTGTTGGTAATTCGTCCTTCGCAAGTTTATAGTGCCCCTTTCAACTGCAGATACATCTTTTTGATATTGATATCCCTGGAAAGATCACTTTTATTGAGTCCAAGACTCTTACAGCAGGTCAAACCCCTACTGTTGTGGACACAGGTTGGTTTGTAGTTCCTTTACTTTTCAGGGAGTTTCTTGTTACTAGCACTTCTCTTCTTTTTTGTTTTATATTTTTTTTGGAGGAAATAGTTCTTGTTACTAGCACTTGACTATGATAAGCTTAACTATATTGTCGTTTCTTATTTTTGGTGATTAACTATATTGTCGTTTCTTACTTCTGGTTAATGCAGAAGTTGGACGTATTGGTATCGGAATCTGTTATGACATTCGTTTTCAGGAACTAGCCATGATATATGCTGCAAGAGGTTTGTCCTTTTATTACTATAATTTTAAAAAAGAACTCAGTATCAATGAATTTTTTTTTTCCTTCTAATTGTGAAGATTGGCTTCATTAGCACTCTAGATTATTACATTAACCAAATAATCATTTATAGTATGTCAATAGTAGCAACTCTCGCTCTCGCTCTCTCTCTCTCGATATGTATTCCGTGTGAGATGATTAATCCTATAGAGTACAAGATGTATTCTACCAAAGTATTCCTCAAATTTCCGTTTGTAGTATTAGCAGATATTGATTAAGAGGATTTAACTTTTTCAGTATCTATTCTTTAACTCCTTAGACAGAGCTCATAGGTTGTTGTGTTGGCCATACAAAATCATTCCTTTTATTAAAGTTTGTCTTACAATGACCGTCTTGCTAACATCAGGTGCTCACTTGATTTGCTATCCTGGGGCATTTAACATGACTACTGGACCATTGCACTGGGAGCTATTGCAGCGTGCAAGGTCTGAACTTCTTTATTAATTTCTACCTTTATGGTTTGTTCCTGATGTTTGTTGACATGTCTTGATGTTGTGCACATGTTAAATAGTAAAAGATGGTTTTGATCTCCAAAATGTGTGAGTACAGAGCATGTTGGGACCTGAGATAATGGATTTCTATTGATAAGGTTCATATTTTATCAAGCAAAGCCTTTTTGTAAGTGTCCCTTCCCTCCTGTAAGCGGCCAGGCTCCTAGAAAGCCATTGTTGCCTGTATGAAAAAGGGGAAGAAGAAAATTTTAACTTTCATTACATTGTGACGGTTATTTGACCATTCAATAATCTGATTCTTTTGGTCTATTCTCATTTTAGATAAAATTGTTTTAGGGTTACTTAGTTTTGAAGATCATAAAATTGTGTATTCTATTGTTGCTTATTAAAATACTTGGTTGTTTTCGCTGACATTTGTGTTTTGATGTTTTATGCAGGGCTGCAGATAATCAGGTATTTTACGAGTCTCCAGCTTTTATTCTTGTCTGTTTTATGCACAAACAAAGCAATAATAAAGAAAAAAATTATATCAATATGATATGATTGGTTGTGTAACTAAATTTTGTTTGACAATAATAATACATAGTTTATAAAGCACCTCTTTCAGAAATAATTGTCTACCGTAAGATTTGTGCCGCAGTCTTGCTGTACTTTTTTTTTATTAATAAATGGTTGTTTATAACATCTCTAAAACCGAAGAATGTATAAATGGTTTACAAAAACATATGGAAGAATCTTTCTATCACGTCTGCAAACAGAATGATCTTACACAACATTTTTTTTAATTGATGCTTTTGTTGTTCAGTTGTATGTGGCAACATGTTCACCTGCTCGAGACGTCGGAGCTGGTTATGTAGCTTGGGGCCACTCTACCCTTGTTGGACCGGTAAGTCAATGCTAAAGTTCAGCTTTGTTATTCTCTTGTATCATGCAACTGAAGCCATTATGTATTCGAGGTTCGATTGGTTCCTTCGGAACTTCTCAACTCTATTCATGGACGAATTGGGCCTTCTATTTTAGCTTCTATCATGGATTCTTTTCACAAATTCAGTCTAGCGTAATGCATGTTGCAGTTTGGTGAAGTGTTAGCTACAACAGAACATGATGAAGCAATAATCATAGCGGAGATTGATTATTCACTTATTGAGCTTAGAAGGTGACCACTCTTGCAGTCCTTTTTAAAAAGTGTTCTTCAATCATTATTTAACTCTCCCTCTCTCATTGATCGTATGCACAAACTATTCAGGACTAACCTACCATTGCTGAAGCAAAAGCGTGGAGATCTTTACCAGTTGGTGGATGTTGAGAGGCTGAAATCCGAATGAAAGGTGCAAGGACTGCTTTGAACGCTCTTATGCTTTAAGTTTTATCCAATTAGAATAAATTAACTTGCCGCTACTGCACCCTTTGCGCTTCTTCCAGACTACAACAGTTGTGGCTGTTTTGCTGCGGCTTGGTGCAAACGAGTAGCTCCCAGTTAAAAGTTACATCGTGATAATTTGCAATGTTCCAATCTCTGTATGTTTTACCGACTCTTTTAAGGTTCAGCAGTTGGCATAACTTTGCTTTAATGAAGGTTTTTCTAGGGCCACGTTTACCTTCTGTTCTTAATTAAGCAAATTGGGATTAGAAAACAAAATATCTGTTTTATCCAGACAGAGATTCGGCCTCATCAACCGGCCCAAAACCCAAAGGCTTGTCCAAGCCTAGCCCAGATTCAATCTAAGTGTGGCCCAACGCCGAATTTTGATCCAGCCCAACCCATTTCTAAGTACCATTTTAAAAAATGGTCTGGCTCGTTTGAGCCGTATTTCGATCAACCTAGCTCATTAGATTTATCATTGGGTCAACTTAAAAAATATATTTTTATAAATTAGATATCACAGTTTTTAGTTAATATAGGTGTTAAAAGTAATCATTTTTCTTTTATAAATAAAACTTTATAGTATTTAATTATTTTATTAAGTAATAGTAATTGTGAGATTCTACGTCGGTTGTAAAAGAGGGGAACGGAACATTTCTGTTATAAAGGTGCGAAAATTTAAAACCTCGAGGGAAAGCCTAGAAAGAAAAGCCCTAATAAGACAATATCTGTTAGCCAGCGGTGGGCCTTTGAGGGGAAGCCCAAATAAGACAATATCGGATGGGCTTGGGCTGTTATAGTAATACAAAATTTAATAAATGACGCCAATAGAACAACCAAGTCATATTTCAATTTGGAAATTTGGATTAAGTAACTAATGGACTATGGGTTGGTGGTTGGTTCGATTCATGTGCAAAAAAATGTGTTCTGGGACCTTCATTCTTTTAAGATCAGGGCAGGGCAGGGCAGGGCAGCCCAATAATGAGGGTGGAGAGGAGTCTGGCATGGGCACTGTCATTGGCGAAGGCCTTCTTGATCAGAGACAGAAAGAAAAAGAAGACATGAGATGAGTCCATAGTCTTTATTTGTTCTGCCTTTTTTTGGGAATAGAGCCTTTCTTTGGACACTGTCGTCTCCGATCCAACCCCCTTTTGTTGGGATCTCCACCCATCGCCCGATGCCCTCCCCTTTTAACCCAAACTATCGCACCCATTTCTTCTTCTTTTTCTTTTTCTTTTTCTTTTCCAAATCCAAATCCAAGCTCCCATCCCAATCCGTACTTTAGTATACATGTATTTGATCCGGATTTGTCACTTTCTCAGAGAAAAAAAAAGAGAAAAGGATCAGGCTGTAGAGCTATTACTAAGCAGCTTGTTTAATCATTTGGGGGAGGTGGGGGAACCCTTGATTCTAGAGTGAATAGAGCGAGTAAATGTAATCACATGCTACCCAAAACTCCTCCATGGTCCCAAATATAAATTTAGCTCTCATTATCGTTCTTGAGTCTTGTAGTAGGGATGCCCTTTTAACTTTATCTCTGAGATTTTTATGATTTAGCCTTGAAGACAGTCCCTTTGGTTGTATTGAATGCAACAACAAAAGGAGAAACTTGTCTAAACTAAAGTGAGGTTGAATCTAACCAATGAGTCATGGATACAGCTTATGCAGGTGACGCTCCATTGCTTTATTGAGCAAAAAAGACTTTGCAATCCTGGGGGCTAAGGCTGGCCACTAAAGCATATGGAAACCCAAAGGTAATGCGCATCATGCCCCTTGGAATTTAGTATTTGCCTGCTTGCTTTCTTAACCTTTATTCTTTCTGTTCTGGTGCTTCTCTTTCGCCCTTTTAACTTAGCGTAAAAAACATCCTTTGATTTTACCATTGTTGGGGGAAAGGAGAGTCCTACATTGGCTAATTTAGGAGAAGATCATGAATTTATAAATACGAAAAACCAAGCAAAACTATTAGAGTTTTATTGTGAAATCCCACGGGGAACGAAACATTCTTTATAAGGGGGTGGAAACCTATCCCTAGTAGACACGTTTTAAAATCTTGAAGGGAAGCCGAGAAGAGAAAGTCCAAAAAGGACAATATTTGCTAGTGGTGAACTTGGGCTTATGCTTAAAGAGAACAATATCATATCATTTTGGAGGTTCGTGGTTCGTTTCTAACAAGTTGCACTTGGACTAATCTCATAGGGACAATTGTTTGATTCTAGAGTAAAGTTTGATACAACTGTCGTGTCCTTTTATAACCCGTTAATATATTATATGTAACGGAGGACAACAAATTTAACCCAATTTTATAAGGTCTAGTCAAAAGGCTAACAACAAATATCTAGGAAGATCCAGAAATGATGGCTTTGAAACCTTTAAAGGTATGAAAATAAAGACATTCCATTCTATTTTCAATAGTAATAAAGACATTTAAGGAAGTCTTTAATTCTCTTTTTTAATATAAAATTTCATTATTATTAGTAGTTAGTAATTAAAATTCAAATATTTATCAACAAAATGATTTTACTTCAGGGTTAATAATTATGCACCTGAAATGAGATGAACTAGAAACTAAAGAACTAAAAAGGGTCTTACTTACCATTCAATTTGGAGCAAGTGACCTGGTGTGTCTCTGCAAGACCATATATTATTTGGTCTGTATTAAGCAATACTTGGAAGCCCTGCACAGGCAAAGGACAAATGCCATTAATTACATATGTCCGGAGTCCTCTCATGGTCCATTTCTCTCTGACCCTAAAACAGTATAGGATAATTGTTGTGAGATATACATTAGTTGCAGAGTAAAATGAAACATTTCTTATAAGCATGTGAAAACCTCTCCTTGATGAATGCGTTTTAAAATTTTAAGGAAAAACTCAAAGAGGAAAATATATACTAGTGGTGGACTTAGACTGTTACAAATGATATCAAAGCTAGGCGGTGTGTCAATTAGGATGATGGGCTTACAAGGTGGTGGATTATAAGATCTCACATCGGTTTAATAGGGGAACGAAAATCTTGAGGGGAAGTATGGATTGTGAGATACTATATCGGTTGGAGAGGGAATGAAAGCCTCGAGGGAAAGCTAAGAAGAAAAGGTCCAAAAAGGAAAATATATGCTAGCAATAGGTTTAGGCTATTCCAAAGGATATTAGAACCAGACACTTGACGATGAAAGGAAGTCTAGAAGAGAAAGCTAGAAAAGTCCAAAGTGGACAATATCTACTAGCTATCTGATAGCGGTGGGCTCACAAAGCAGAAGCGACGTGGCCATTGACCCCACCCTTTTAACTTGCAGCAGCTAAAAAATGGGCATGAGAAGAAACCCTGTATGGAAGGGCAGACCAGTTGATGGTGCTGGCTTTCTTTCTTTGTAGTTTGTCTTAAGATGATTCAACATTTTGGTAACCAGATATGCAAATCATGTGCTTTTGGGTAGGATTATGGGGACACATATCCTTTCTTATTTGATAACACCCTCAATTGGCTTCCTTTTCGGCTTGGGTTGTTCATCATTGATGCTTACTTTCTTCATTGCAATAAGGGCTTACATTACAATTACTTTGCTTCCTGCTTTACCTCTTTTGGACCATTGACATGGGATGGGATTCTTTAGTTGTGTGTGTGCATTCATACTTGTGCCTTCTTTAGTAACAGTTTTCCTTGATTTCTTTAAGCAATGCAGGGTAAAAAATTTGAAAAGAGTTAAGGAATCTTGCTTTGTTTCATTTTGTCAATGATCGAGTTTGGTTTAGAAGGGTTCGTTGGCCTATTTCAATATAGTGCTTTGAAACAAGGTTCAATGGTGAGCGTTCGAGCAACATTGAAGCACACACTAGCTAGGCGCAAGCTTAGCCATACAACCAACCCATGTCTACAAACTCACTACAGCATTACTCGCCAACGACAAGGTACGAATGGTTAAAACAAGGCAATGCATGCCAATCGTTTTCGATAAAAAAAACAAAAAGAAGGTGAAGAACGATCTTTCTCATATATACATAATACTAGAGTTAGTTGATTGCATCATCACTCGTAAGGTTTATATAGCGTACAGGGTCGAGCACTACAACCGTGCAAGTTGAAGCATAATTCACAACTCGTCCATAATTGACTATCAACATCTAGCCCTAGTAGGTAGCTTTCAAGTTTTAGATGTTTTTTTTTTTTTTTTGTATATATTATTTTCTTTAATGTGAAAGGAGGATTAAAAAAAAACTGCTACACATATTTATTGAATAATAAAATAATTGAATTCAGTTATTTATTAAATATTAATAATTAAGCCGAAAAAAAAAGTAGAGCTAATGATTGGAGTTGGAAATTTCAATTTTAGCCCCCGATCTTAAATAAAATAAAAGAAGAAAAGAAATAAAATTCATCCGTTATTACCGAACAACGGGTAACAAATTCGAAATTGTAGGGAGAAGGAAAGGAATAAAGCGTTACACTAAATTTCAAAAAAGAAGGGGCAAAATGGAGAAATTGATAAAAATAATTATTTAAAAAAAAAAAAACACGCGCGTGAGGATCCTATAAAGTCTCTCTTTCCTCTTCCTTCTTCCAGTTCCACCTTCTGCCTTCGAAGCGTGCCTTCCTTCCTTCTCATTAGCCACTTTCTCTCTCTAGAAATCCTTAACAAAGGAAAGCCTTGTTCATCAATTGCTTCTTAATCTCTTGCTTTTTTTTTTTTTTGTTTGCCTTTGATTCAGTAGAAAACCAGAGATTGAGAGAGAGAAGAAGAAGAAAAGTAATCTTGTTCCAATTAGGTGTAATTAGTTTTCTTTTCCAACAGTTTCTGTCACCTTCCATGGCAGCTTTTGGACCTCCAGAAGGAGACAAGAAAGAGTCGGAACACGGCTCGGCACCCTACTTCTTGTGTGCTCTGTGACGGAGCATTCCGCCACTGTCGTTTTGTTTCCTTCCTTCCTTTCATCATCGATCGTTTCGTTTCTCTTTCTTGGTTGATTTTTTTTTTTTCCTCTCTCTCTCTGTGGATAATCATGAGTGGGCAGGAAGTTAGGGCGAGAGGTGAGAGGTTAAGGGATGGAGGAGGTAAGGGACAGTCTTTCTCTTCGAGTTTGCTTGATGAAATCTACCGTTCGATTGACGATGGAGGCGATAAGAGAAGTGGAGAATTGAAGTTTTACAGACATAAGGTGTTGAAGAAACAAGGTAAAACAATCGGTGACGAAGAGATCGCGAGTCTTCATCGAGCTTTGCTGATCGAGAGATGGATCGAGAAGAAGGTTGCTGAAAAGGTGAGCGCTCAAAGGAGACGATCTCTGACGGAAGCTGAGATGAAATTTCAGTTGTACCAGCATGATCGGGAAGAAGACGTTCTCTTCTTCAGTTCCACTTCGAGTTCTTCCGATTCGAGTTTCGGCGGATTTTCATCTTCGGATACTGAATCAATGTATGGCTCGAAGTCCTTGACGCCGTCTTGTTTTGCGAAGTTCAGGCCGAAACCGGTTCGGACCAGCGTCTCGGCTCTACCGCCAGAGAAGACGGAGGCAAAGCAAAGACAGAGTAGAGAAAAACCACAGTCGAAACAGAGCAATCAATTCGTCGAAAACAAAGAATCGCGAGATTTGGACGAGAACGCCATGATTAAGTCGAAATCTAGGGCATTGAAGATATACGATAACTTAAAGAAGGTGAAGCAGCCGATTTCACCAGGAGGACGCCTCTCAAGTTTTCTCAATTCAATCTTCACCGCAGGAACTCCGAAGAAACAAGCACACTCCGTAACATCAACCGGAGCCTCTGAAGATCCTAACTCAGAGAGGAAATCAAAATCCGGCCAAACTTCGACTTGCTCTTCCGCTACATCGTTTTCAAGATCATGTTTAAGCAAAAATTCGCCATGCTCAAGTGAAAAATTGGGCAACGTCGACAGGAGAACGGTTCGATTCTATCCGGTGAGTACAATCGTAGACGAACATTGTAAACCTTGCGGACACAAATCCTTGTACGATGAAGGGCCTAAGTTCCAAGTCAAGGATAAGCCGCAAACAGCAGAAGCAACAGCAGCAGCCAGAAACATTTTGACAGATTATCAACAAATTAGGAATAAGAAGGATTTCCTCGCTAGAAAATTTCACCATCCGAACAATCATCTCTACCAAGAAGAAGAAGAAGAAGACGACACAGCAAGTTGTTCGAGTTCAGATCTGTTCGAGCTAGATCACCTGACGGTAATGAGCGGAGATCGGTACCGCGAAGAGCTTCCGGTGTACGAAAGAACCACTGGTGTGGATACCAATCGAGCCATCCGCCATCGCTAATCAGGTTTCTTACTTATTAATTCCATTTTCTATTAGTATCATTCCTGAGCCATAAATCTGTTACACTGATTGTGTTTGTGCTGCAATTTTTTTTACAAAAAAAAAAACTGTTGATTTGATTAGGTTGTTCAGAGATTTAAGAATTAAATTAAGTGTGTAAAGGGTAATTTTGATCGTATCCACTTTTGAGGGTTTTGGGAAATGGATTGGAAAACATGGAAAGAAAAGGAAAGACAGAGGAAAGCGTGGGAACGTTAAAATTTTCTGAAAAAGAAATTTGTGGGGATCACACTTTTACTCTTTGATTTTGAACCGAAGAGAACAAAAGAAAAAGAAAAAGGAAAAGGAAAAGAAAAAGGAAAAGATTCTAAGATTGGACGACGAGAACCAAAATGAAGATTTTCATTTTTTTTTTCTCATTTTTTTTTCTTTTGGTGTTCTAATTTTGTCTTGAATGTCTAATATGCTGGCCTCTCTTCCTACTTCCTTCCCCATCCCCATCCAACGTCATCTCTTTCTTTTCCCTTTTTCCCCTCGACACACCAAAATTACCCAAATCACGCAATCGTATGATATTAGAACGTAAGTTCTCATGGGTTTGTTTTAGACTCTCAAAAAGCCTCATCCCTCGTTATTCCTTGATTATAAACCTATAATCATTCCCTTTTCTTTTCTTTATGAATTTTTTCAATGCTTTAAAACACCTTCATTAAGGAGAGTTTTCACATTTTTATAATGAATGTTTTGTTATTCTCCCCAACCAAATGAGATCCCACGCTTTTTTTTTTTTTTTTTAAGAAAGAAGTGTAGTCTAGGGTAGGGGGCGGTGGATTCCAAGCTTATTCAAGTCATGCATCTACCTAATTACTAATTTCACAAAGGTGTAGGATAATATTATTTTAAAAAAAATTAAATTTTCAATGATTTGTTTGCATTTCTTGAATTATATAATTACAGCAAACCACCACTCCCCAACCATTCTTAATTTATATAATTCATTCCTTAACTTACCCTAATTTAAATAATATAACAATTTCAACCACTTTTTTTATTAAATTTTCCCTTCTCTATTTTACCTTAAAGGATTGTGTTTTCTTTATTTGAAAATTGTTAAATTTATGAGTCTATAATGCTGCTGTATTCAATTACGAATTTTATTATAAAGAATTTTAGATCCAGAAAATGGGGGAAACAATTTAATATTAAATGATTATGGAGAAGAAGTTTTGTATGAAACAAATCTTAGAATCATAAATAAATAATCAGATTCCTTCAGACCATGATTGATTTTCCACCCCTTTTCACGTCATTAGTTTTATCAACCAATTCGGCCCCACCATTTATATTTAATTACAACTTATTTTCAACCTCTCCTCATTAATTTTTGTTTTAAATTAGTGATTATACTTAGTAATATTCAAATTGTGATTACGAACCTGCCCATCAATTCAGTTACTCTTACAAATTTTAATCTTATCTACCTTCTCGTTCTAGCTTATACTTTAAAAACTTTAGGTTTAGTATAATTAGAACTACGAACGTTTTTTATTTATGCCACTAATTCTATAAATATAATTTCAACACGTTGTATTAGTTAATGATTGTATCAATTTAAATTTTAAATCAATATGAATAATTTTATCAATTTTAATTCTAAACTTTTATCAATGAGCCCGGCTATTTTTATTTGATTTCTATTTAAAAAACTAATTCAAAATTATCGAAATAATTGGACTAAAATCTTCGAGAAAAAATATCATTTAATCTTTAGATATATTTTTTAAAAATAAAAATGATATATATTTTTTTAAAATAAAAATGATGTTGAAATAAGTGAATGTTAAATTTTTTTTTTTTTTTAATTATATCCAGCTAGAAATTAAAAGTTTTAATTAAATTTTTTTTTTTAATTATAATTCCGTGTGTTCTATTGGTTAAGAGAATAAACTCCCAAAATCTATTAAAGAAAAAGAAAAGCAAAAGGAGGGATTTTGAAAGGGGTTTAAGAGAGGTGGGGAAAAGACTCGAGAGAGAATGGTCCATAGCCAAATTTTGGCTTTTGCCTTGCGGGTTAGGAACAAGAATCTAAGATCTGCGATCCCGAGACGAGTCTCTGTTTGATTTGATCCTCACTACCTTTCCCTTTTCTTCAACAATGTGGAGTGATGAGATTAATCACATGGTAAGTAATCTTCTTATCGCAATCTTCATTTACTTAAAGCTCCATTTCTTTCCTGTCCTTTTCATCTCCGAAGTGATTCTGATCCCTGGAAATGGCGGGATTTATACCTGCTTTTGAAAGCAATGACGTTAAGGTGTTCGATGAAATGCCCCATCCAAGTATTTAGCGACAATCAAGTTAATTTGAGAAACTAACATTTAGTGTTTGATAAAATGTCGTATCCACTTGTTTAGTGCTGTTTAAGTTTTTTAGAAGTGAATGTTTGAGTGTTTGATAAAATGCCATATCAAGGCGTTAACTTCATGGACATCATTGGCATCGTCTGCTTTTACCTCTTTGTGCAGGCTAGTGTTAGAAATGGACTTCATTTCATCTTACTTCTTTTGTTGTGATATGAAATTGATTGCATGTTGTGAGATCCCACCTCGGTTGGGAGGAGTACGAATTATTGTTTATAAGGATATGGAAATCTCTCTCGAATACACGCATTTTAAAAATCTTGGGGTAAGCTCGAAAGTGAAATTCTAGAAAGGATAATATCTACGAGCAATGGCCTCGAAAGAGAAAGCTCAAAAAGGACAATATGTACTAGCGGTGGGCTCGGGCTGTTACAATTATCTCGAAGAATTCTGTCCAATATGTTATCTCCAATCATTAAAAGGCAAAAATTACAGCTCAATATAAGGGACTTGAAGGTGTTCTAGGTTTCTCTGAACCCCAGAATGAACAATTTGAGGAAGGAAAACAGCCAGCCGAATAAACCAAACCCATGGGTGTCTCAGAATTCGTAGGAGGTGAATTTCCAACTCACTAGAGCCCCTCTATCTAGATGTTCTCCAAGCTTGTGTCACTCCATAGGGATGGTGTACGGTCCAAGTCCACCGCTAGTAGATATTGTTCTCTTTGGACTTTCCATTAAGATTTTTAAAACTCGTCCGCTAGAGATAGGTTTTCACACCCTTATTAAAAATCTTTTGAAATTTCATAGATGGGATCAAACATCTTGCGCTCCAGACAACAACGCTCATCTGAAGTGCTGGAATTGAAGGTACTTTCCTTCTTAGATCGCTCGTGTTGGCTTATTCTTTGCACATTTCATGGTCTAGTCAATAACAAGGCTTAGTTAATTGAAAACAAGTTGGAACTCAGGTGTCCTTTAGAGTGCTCTGTCAAACACTAAAAGATGTTGATTTAAAGTAGTAAATGTTGAGGATTGTTGCGAGGGAGTCACATATTGGCTAATTTAGGAGATTATCATGGATTTATAAGTAAGAAATACATCTCCATTGGAATGAGGCATTTTCGGAAAGTCCAAACCAAAATCATGAGAGCTTATGCTCAAAATGTACAATATCATACTATTGTGGAGAGTCGTGGTTACTAACAATAAATGCTCATGTTGGTGAGGAAAAGGTATCGAATGACAAATCATTTTGATATTGATATTCTTCTACGTTGTAAAAGTGCTTTTGAAGCACTTCTTAAATCGATTACTTGGGTTAGAAATATTCTACCGATGCTTTCTCACAAAGCTCTTGCAGGTGTTTCTTTCTTCTTCTTTTTTTCCCCCTTCAAAGCACTTTGTATTCAACATGAAAGCTATGAAAGGAAAGTCTTTTTGGGTCATAGAAAAAGCACTGGTAGCCATGAGGATTGGCCTTGATCCCATTTTGGATTCTTAGGCAGCCCAATACTCTGATAAAGGGCTGGGAATGATTAGCCCAATGACCCACTTTTTATTTTCTCTGTTTTTTTTTTTTTTTCTGGGCTTTGAAGGTGGCAGAATGGGGGAGGGAGCTTCTGAAGCAGGAAAAGAATTCAACGGAGGATGGAGAGAGCACATGATTCTGTCACGTAGCCCAGGACCATGGATTCTTGCACCAAATTACTGGGAACGGACACAACGTGGTTGGTGATGCAACCCAAATTGCATTCAAAGTGCCATCTCCAGCCCTGCAACACCTTCCCTAAGCCATCCGCTTGCAGACCTACAGCATCGAGCAGGTCAAGCTCCAGTCCATCAATCAAGCCTGTTGGGAGTGGAGTCCCACGTCAGTTAATTAAAGGGTTGATCACGTAAGAAATACATCTCCATTCGTGTGAGGCCTTTTGAGTAAGCCCAAAGTAAAGTGAGCTTATGGTCAAAGTGGACAATATTATACCATTGTGGAGATCTCTGATTTCTAACGGAGCCAAGACTTTTTCTGCTAGAATAAATATAGAGTATCTTACTTTGCCTAGGTGCTCTGTTGACAGCGCCACCCGGTTATGCTATAATTGATGGGAGCATAGCTATATTTGATTAAGTTATATATAGTAAACCGAAATATATATATATATAATATACCTTTCAAGTAGTGTTTTGATCTCTGTTATCGTACTTACTGAACTTTTAGTTAATATTCCTTCTAGCATTTTCTCTCTTATTTTTCATATTCATCTAGATTGAGTGTGTGTTGTTCTGCGATCTTAACAAAAAGAGACGACAATTCCCGCTATTGAAAGCAGTTGAAATATGCAGTTTCATGAACAGAAGGTTAGAGCAACAAAGGCAAGTTTTGTTTATTATATGACATTGGTGGATTATATACTTGCATGTATTTTGGTAGGTAATCAAGCAGGAACATATGGAGGTGTATTCATGCCAGCCGTCTTATACTCACTTGAATAAAGCGATATTTATATCGTTGGAGTCAAACTTTGAACGGTAAATTTCTATACAAATTTTTATTTTGTAACGCCTAATCTTATAGTTTACGTACATATTTAGATTTTAATATTACAAGTATTTTTTAAATATAGCAGTAGGAAAAGAAAAAAAAAAAGTGGGGACATTAATTAGCATGGTACAATTACTTGTAATTTGTCCCTTTCTAGGTATGCAATAAATGAAGAAGTAAATGAAGAAGCTCAACTCAATTTCATTTCACGGACCTAAATTATTTATATATACGACGTAGTACTCTGAAAATGTACTTTACGTGTTTTCTATATTTTCTCTTATTATTCTCTCTCTAGTAGTTTGAAAAATCAATGACATTTTAAATACAACATTAACTGTCTTTTATCCTAAACTACCCATAACAGTATTTCTTTTAAATATATTTTTGTTCAATGATATTATTAAAAAAAATTAAAATTTAGATATTTTTTTGTAGACGAGATTATTATTATCATCATTATTTGTTATATATATTTTTAGTTTCACATTTACATGAAGTACTTGTTAATAATGTAATTATATGTGACAAATGAGTGGAATCTTCCTAAACAATATATATTATATTATATTCTAGAAGATAGTAATATTATATTCGAAATATTAGAAAAATAAGTAAAGAATATTATGATATTAATATTATACTTGAAATATTAGACTAAGATTTTAGCTTTATTAAGTTTCAAACTGATGTGATATTAATATTACCCCTAACTTTTTAAAAATTCGAAAAAAGATATTAGAATATCGAGAAAGTCAAATTACTATGAAGTTTATTATTATTATTATTATTATTATTATTATTTTAAGGAAATGGACAAAATTGAGTTAAACTTAAAACGTGGGTGGTTGCCACGTGAAATTTGACATAGATCAGTGGTCTTCTTCCCTTGGAAATTAGAACAAATAAATAAATATATATATATAAAGAACACGAGGAGTTCATTAAAAATAAATAAATAAATAATAAATAACAAAATAAGAGTTTAAGTCAACAATTGATTAAAATAATAATAAACCTACTTAATAACTGTCTCACGTCGCCCTCATTCCTTTTGTACAAAAACAAAATTATGGGCCATTCCAACATGTTTCCTACTTTATTCCATTTCTGAAAATTGACACTTTTTAAAAAAATATATATTTTTTAAAAGATTTTATAGAATATAATAAGATATTTACGTGACTTTTCTCTTTCGTTCGTTGTATTAACATATCTAAGACAGAGGTAATCGAAAATATGACATATACAACATTCGTTACATTTATAGTAAACTATCAAATTTATTGTGTAGCCCGTAAAGTGAATAAAAACAGTGAGAAAAGCATTAAAGAGGTAACGAAATTTAATGAACTCTTAATGTTTCGGAAAGGCATATACGATCAATATCATGGAAATTACGTTTTTCGTAAAGGTATAAATCTATGCCTTACATATCAGAGAGTATACATTAAAAGTTTATTTGTATTATAAGGACATAAAAGTAATTTCCTTCTAATGTCCAATTTTTTTTTTTTTAAAAAGGATCATTGTCAGATGAAAATTTATGAATTTTAGCTGAAATTTCTATAATTTCACTAAAATTGATTGTGGGTCAACATTGTTTTTTTTTTTCCTTCAAATTTAATTATTTAGTTCTGAAAAGCAATAAGGGTAAAATCGTAACTTCCCACTAAAATGTTAAAATAGTTCAAAAAGGAATAATCTATTCGAATGGATTCTTTCATCCAAGATTAAAATATAATCGTTGCGATAACCACAAATTTTATGCCCAATTCCTAAAGGTTTCTTTGAACCATTTTCACTTTTTGGCGATTATCTCTGTGGGTTGTGATGCGAGTGCTACACAGTTCGGCGAAGGCGGAGCTAAGCTCCGGCGTGAATCTTTGACTTCACTCACTCTGTTCCTCATTTTCCATTTCATTCGGACCCTTCTGGTTTCTCATTCCGCCATTGTTTTTGCTTCCTCTCTTTGTTTTAGTTGATACGAAGTGGGTTTCTGTTTTTATTCATTTTATCTGCTTGTGGCCGCTGTTGCTCTGCATTCAAGAATTGATCTCCGCCTCTGTTTTCCGGTAAGTTGTCCTCTAATAATGAGTTGTAGGTTTCTTTCTGTGGGTTTTTTTCGATGGAATGTTAGATGAAGTTTTCATTCTTAATCTCTGTGATTCTGATTGCGTCTTGGTTTGTTGTGTTCATACCCCTTTTTCTTTCATTTCGTCTGTTTAGAGCTAAGCTTGGATTCTGATGGATTTGAACGGGAATAAACCTTTGAAACCTATTCGAAGAAGCTCGTCGCAGAAGGAAAGTGAAAATGGTAGCCAAGTAGTTGTTGAAATTAGCAGAGATGAAAATGGGTACTCTGTTCCGAAGCAAAACAGAGTCGATTCACAGACCAAAGAGCCGATGGATTCGAGTATTGGCTATGGCTACGACTCGCATCTCACTCCGACGGCGAATAAACCCCCGAAAATCCCCGGTTCAGTTGGAACCCTCACGCCTAGAAAATCCCTCAAAAGATCAATCCTATCGAAACCCAAATCCAGATTCGGGGAACAATCAAGCTACATCGATTCAGATACGTTTGAGGAGAATCGTTTGTCGTTTAGAGATCAAATCAGTGCAAATTCATCGAGACGTTCTACTCTCAACACGCCGAAGGAACATCATGAGGAAGGAGATGAAGATATTTTCAAGATAGAGAAGTTTAAGAAAGAGAAGCACAAGAAAGTGAAGGTAATAACATTGATTAAATGGGTTGGAGCTTTTTGCATCATTGGTTGCTTGGTAGCTAGCTTGACTATTAAACGTTTGAAGAATTACTTCCTTTGGGGTATAGAGATTTGGAAATGGTGTTTGCTTGCTACTGTGATTTTGTGTGGAATGATATTTACTCATCGGGTTATGAACGTGATTGTGTTCTTGATTGAGAGGAACTTTTTGCTTCAGAAAAAAGTGTTCTATTTTGTTCATGGGTTGAAGAAGAGTGTCCAAGTGACCCTTTGGTTGACATTGGTTCTTGTTACATGGGTGTCTTTGTTTGATCGGAGTAGCCATAGGGTCTTGAGATCAAAGATCAGTGGGAAGATTTTGGATGCCATTACATGGACTCTAATAACACTTCTGATAGGAGCATTTTTGTGGTTGATAAAGACATTGTTGTTGAAAATACTGGCCTCCAAGTTCCATATGAACCGATTTTTCGACAGAATACAGGAATCCATTTTCCATCATCATGTTCTTCAAACCCTTTTGAACCCTTCACCAATTGGCATGCCTGAAAGTACTGTCGAGTCCAACAGTGGTCGATTGAGTTTCAAGGGTAAAAAATCCAACCATAAGAAGGTGATTGACTTGGGAAAGATTCATCAGCTGAAGCGAGAGAAGGTTTCGGCATGGACGATGAAGGTTTTGGTCGATGCAGTTGCAAGTTCGGAGATGTCGATCTCACAATTACTTGACGAAAGCTACCAAGTTGCTGACGGTGAGATCACCGATGAGACGGAGGTTGCTGGATATGCTGCCTTCAAGATCTTCAACAATATTGCTGTTCCTGGAAACGAGTGAGAAACTTTTGTTTTTGTTTGTGATGTTTTGTTGAGATTCATGTTGATGTTTTTTTTACACTTTCCCTTTTGTTAGTTTCATAGAGGAAGAGGATCTTCGGAGAGTTATGATCAAAGAAGAAGTTGATCTTGTGCTTCCACTCTTTGAGGTAGATGAGACAAGGAGGATTGACTGGAAATCTCTAACAAATTGGGTGGTGAGCTCTCGTATCTATTATTTTTCTTTCGTTTGCAGTGACGTCGAGCCTCCCGAACACATTAAAAGTCGAGGTCGTTTAGGCTTATGTTAAACAACGATGAGAATCGTTCTCATTTGGCCATTCCTAATAAGCAAACATTGTCTTAGAACATAGAAATGCATATGACCGATTGTCTATGTATCAACCCAAGCCCACCGCTAACAGATATGTCTTCTTTGGGCTTTCCCTTTCGGGCTTCCCCTCAAGGTTTTTAAAATGCGTCTACTAGGGAGAGGAATGTTTCGTTCCCGTCTCCAACCGACGTGGGATCTCACAATTCACCCCCTTAGGGGCCAACCTGGTGTCTGGCTCTGATACCATTTGTAATAACCCAAGCCCACCGTTAGCAGATATTGCCTGTTTTGGCCCGTTACGTATCGTTGTCAGTCTCACGGTTTTAAAATGTGTCTATTAGGGAGAGCTTTCCTCACCTTTGCAAGGAATGCTTCATTCCCCTCTCCAACCGATGTGAGATCTCACAATCCACCCCCTTAGGGGCCAGCCTAGTGTCTGGCTCTGATACCATTTGTAATAATTCAAGCCCACCGCTAGCAGAAATTGTCTGTTTTGGCTTGTTACGTATTGCCGTCAGTCTCACGGTTTTAAAACGCATTTGTTAGGGAGAGTTTTCCACACCCTTATAAAGAATGCTTCGTCCCCCTCTCAACCGATGTGGGATCTCACAGTCTAATCATTTGAATCGTTTTTCAATAGCCGAAGCGTCTCGACAATATTCTATAGCAT